TGTATATTGGGTTTTTTCATGACTTGTGGTTTTTATGGTTATTGATTTAGACTCTTTAATACTCAATCTTGTTGGATGGTACATCAAATGTGAGTGGAATTTCATCCATATTTCCTATTTGACTAGGCTCAAAAGAAGTTTTCTATAAACCTTGCCTTTTCATGAACCTGTAGCACCAGCCCTCAGACCCTGAAAAGTTCTGATTCCCATGTTTTTCTGTAAATCCTTTGGCCTCATTGATTATCATTTTGGTTGAAACACTTATCCCAGATTTCCTCTTATCTATCACCCAAATTTTTACGGCATTTTCAAGTTTGGGCCAAGATGGAGATGGGCATCGAAGGTTATGTTTTTGTAACCTGTGTCCTTCATGTATAAGACGCAGGTAACTTTTTTGAGACCAAATTTAGGAAAAAAAGTGCGCCTTATATGCCGTCCAGTACGGTAGTTAAAAATTAATTGCTACATAATAGATTCTGTCAAATCTGTATTTATGAAGTATTTAAGAGACTGATTTATTTCTGTTGAATGTTTCTGCTGTGATTTCTACAATATACATAGAGTTTTATTTCAAATTTTAATCAAAATTTAATCAGTATTAATAAAATGATTTAACTTTTCGAAGTAACTAGTTAATTTTTTAACTTTTTCGAAAACCTGGTCCAGATTCACTAGGAGTTTGATAAGTGTATAACTGTTTCCCAAATTATTGTTTTTTCTTCTACTGTTACTATTTTTTTAAAAAAAATGATGGTGACAATTTTCTTATTTTGAAGTAAGTGCATCTTTTTGAGACACACATTAAAGTTCTTAATTTCATTTGCAGCGGTATTTGTAGGGAGGATTTCTTAGTTCTATTTGTAACTGTAGAACAGTACTCATTAATATGGAAATAATGATAATTCACTCTTGAGCACAGTCCAAAATTGAGAAAATTGTAAAAAATTTCAAAGATTATTTAATGTTTTATTAATGTTACTAATTTTAGGACTGTATCAATTAATTAATTATAAAAATATTTGCATGTTCTATATATTTAAGGAATTTTTGCATCTCTCCATTCTCTTGTGGCATAAATGCTTAGCACATTCAGCTAGCAATTTTAAGATCTGTGGTCTAAGCTCTGCAACCAGTATAGTGGTTAGTGTTCGCTGGCTGCTGTGCTGAAGGGCCGGAGTTCAAATTCCGGAGAAGGCATGGATATTTGTAAATTTGTAGCGTTGGTGTGGCATGGCAGCACTCTAAATATGCGGCAAGCTGAAAGTCCTCTCGTGGTTTGGTGGAAGGGAAGAGGGTTGGGAGACTTTCGGACCCGTCCCCCAGGTGTGCAGGTGTGATCTCCATCAAAATTTGGAGCAGAACTGAGCTAAATCGCACTGTCACCTGCAAGATGCTTAATGCTGTTGCCAACGGCAGGCATATCTTGCATTCCTTTGCCATGAGGAATTTTGTGGGCTTGGGCTGATATTACTGTGAGACAAGTGAGCATAAGTAACAACAACAACAGGTCTGTAGTCTAGATCCAGGCAAGAGCCCAACTGATTTTTCATGCTCCTTTCTTTAAGATGCCTAGTTTTCCATAATGTTACTTAAACTAAAAAAATATTAGATGATAATTCATCACTAACTAAATTTTCTGAACTAGATCTTGTGCATGTCCTCACTTGCTCTTTGAGTGAGAGAGAATATAAGGAATTATCAGTATTCTTCCATGCATGCTTTCATTTTGCAAGTAGTTAGTACATCCAGCTAGTAACTGGAAGATTTGTGGTTTGATTTCTGGGAAAGGCATAGTTGATTTTCTGCATCTCTTTCAGAAAACTCTAATGGTTGATGCATGTAATATGTGTGTATTCACATATGGTTTTCACTTTAATTTAATCTGAATTCTAGTCTTCCATCTTAATTGAAAGATTCATCTATGTTTGGTAGTCTTGCACATCTGTTTTAGTGGTGGCATAGATAAGGTGGGGAAAGGGAGGACATCGCTTACTGGGTACAGCATCCAGGGGAACCAAATAAATGTTAGAAAATTTTAGAATGAAAATGTTTTCCATTCTTGGCAACTACAAAGAGATGCGAAGTCTTCAGTTTTCCCTGGGAGCTAAAAACACTAACTGTGGTTCTGTTTGGGAGGTCCCGTCTTTAAGTATTCTTTCATAAAGTCGTTAATCCGGACTCGTCGGGACTTCGGTGATTCCGGATTAAAGATCATCAGTTTAAATCTGGTAAGATGGCATGCAGGAATTATAAAATTAAAAATAGGAAACCGTAATTTATGAAAAAAAGAACAATTATGATCTAAATGGTATCAAAATTTACAAAAAGAAAAAGCTTAATATTTATTTGTTTACTTTATTAAACATTTCTTTCAATGTAAGTTGTTTAAGTTGCTTCGTTTCATGTGATAATACTTTCTCTCTAATTCTATTAAACAGACATAATTTCTTTTTCAGTTACAAAGTTCCGCTGTTCCAAGTCCTATAATTGCTGTGTTGAGAATACCGACTAAGTTGTCAATCAAAATTTTTTCGTTTTCAATAACCTCTGTGTCACTTTCTTCACTATCGGAAGCGAATTATAATGACGAGGAACTTGATTTAAATCATATCAAAGATGGAGTACATCAAGATGAAATACTACATTTAGTAAGAGAAATTATAAGCCAAATAAAATAAAAACATCTACCCTGAAGATAAGAATAGTGCTGACAGATCAACTTCCAATTCATTGCCCCCCCCCAAGCCGCGGAGCAGCGTGAAATTTATAAACAGATTTCGGAATGCTTAGAGAAACAAAGGATATGCCTTTATCCGCTTTCTGTTTAATGGACTTCGAAACATACTTTCGTTTTGTAGATCCTTTACATATTAGTAAATATATATCGGAAATGCTGTTTGACATAATCGAAAGTTCAAGCTTACTTTTATAAAATTGCTCTAACAGTCTACAAAATATAATAAGCCGGATCCAATTAGAAGATTAAGGAACAACGCAATCTGCAACATTAACTGAATTAGATAATTTTAGCTTAGCTTATACCGTCTGTTATACATTAAATGCGTATGCGTAAACGTATTATGCGCACGCATATTCGCAGCCGTAAAGGTTTTACGTGGACGCCTAAACGCCTATACGCATGCATCAACGTGATGCATGCGCAGAAAGTTTGTAGCTTTGAGGTCCGAATTAACGACTTTTGACTGTAATTTCTTTCTTCCTCTTGAATATTCTATTGATTGGATCAAATGTGTCATTCCTCTCAAAGTAGATTGGTTACCCTGTGAAAATAAATTGGTGATCTGCTCACTGATACAAGCAGTCTGACTGACCATATTACCCAGTACATTCATCATTGATTGGGATGCCACTATTTTGGATCCTTGTATTTTTCTTCAATTCACTAGAAAATCTTTCCTCTCTGTTTGAGGAGGTTTATAGTTCTGTGGTAGCATAATATTAAGAAGTATGTTTATCTGCCCACTTCTCTGCTTGTATCTTTGTTTATGTACTGCTAAAATAGAAAATAAAACAAATGTAACTGCATTTAGTGTGTTATAATTTTGTCTTGTGGTGTGTAATATGAGGTAGTTTTAAATATGTAAGTATATTCATTACTTATGCAAGATATTCATAATGTGAGGCACTAGTACAGTACAAAGTCCATAATCCGGACCTCCATTATCCGGAATGATCTATAATCTGGACATCAAAACCACAAACCTTTTTTTTTGTATGCTTTACGCATGCATGTTTAATGTATAATGGATGGTATAAGCTAGGATAAAATTATCTTTGCTGATTCTAAAGCATTTCAGTTAATGTTGCAGATTGTGTTGTTCCTTAATCTAATTGGATCTGTGTTATTATTTTTTGCAGACTGTTAGGGCAATTTTATAAAAAGTCAGTTTGAACTTTCGATTATGTCAAAAAGAGTTTTCGATTCTGGAGCTGGCAAAGAATCTACAAAGCGAAAGCATGTTTCGATGTACCGCTTCCGATAATGAAGAAAGTTACAGAGAGGTTATTGAAAATGAAAACATTTCGACTGACAAGTTAGTCGGTATTCTCGACACAGCAATTACAGGACTTGAACAGTGGAACTGAACAAGAAATTATGTCTGTTTATAGATTTAAAGAGAAAGTATTAGCACAAAAAAACGAAGCAACTTAAACAAGTTACATTGAAAGATCTGTTTAATAAAGTAAACAAATAAATATTAAGTTTTTTTTTTTTTTTTTTTTTTTTTTTTTTTTTTTGTAAATTTTGATACCCTTTAGATCATAATTGCTCTTTATTTCATAAATTATGGTTTCATATTTTTAATTGTATAATTTCTGCATGCCATCTTACCAGATTTAAATTGATGATCTATAATCCGGAAAAAAACTAATCCGGAATCACCGAAGTCCGGATTACGGACTTTGTACTGTATCTTTTGATGAAAAATATTGCAAAGATTGATTAATTTGAAATTTGTGATTTTTTTATAAAACATTTTGACAGATCTTAAATAAAGATCCTTATAATGAAAGTCATAAATTAAATTGCTTTTACTCTTCTAATGTCTACTTTTTTTATGTTACCTAAGTTTTGCCATTTTATTTGAACCATACGTCTCCAGAATATCTAGCTAAGTTTGACAATTATGTTGAAAAATATACTGAGTTAGCATTTAGCTGGTAATATATTGTTACTGGACCAGTTACAAAAGATATCAATTGCTGTACTTCTTAAATAATTCCACAATATTTTCCATCTGTAAATGTTACTGAATGTAGTGATTGCTTCTAATTATTAATTTATTCTGAAAATTTTGAATTTCTTTGTATTAATTTACTAATAATTATATATATATATATATTTCTTTGTATTAATTTACTAATAATTATACATATATAATATATATATTTTTTTATTATTTATTTATTTATTTATTTATTTATTTATTTATTTTTTTTTTTTTTTTTTTTTTTTTTTTCTTTCTTAAAGGCTAGTTGTGGCTTTCTTTGCAGTATCTGCTCTGGACCATTTAGATGCCTTAATAAAAATTAATAGTGAAAAAGAAAAGTTAATTGATTGGTTATATACATTTCAAGTACAGCCAGAAAAAAATGGTATGTTTAATATCTTAATTTAAATTTTTCTATTAATGGGAACTGTATTGTGCAGAAAACATCTAGAGAAAGGATTGCATTAGTTTATCTGAGGAAATGCAGCCTAGTTTTGTTTATGTTCAATCTTTATAAAAGTTATTAAATGCAATTTGGTGATTTTAGTGACCTTTTCTAAAAAATCACCAAACTATCAATATTTATTCTAAATAAACAATAATTGCCAATATATCAAAAGAAAATACACTTTAGCAATTAAAAATACAAATCTGGTGCTACTTTGGTAGACGGTTGCAAGGATTTTTGTCGATTTACGAGGCGTATTCGGAAACTAAGTACCGTTTTGAAAAAAAAATAGTAAAACAATTTTTTCGAATCCAATTTTATTTTTACATGAAAATACATGTCTTAAACTATTTTTCAACATAGTTTCCGCCAATGATCAAACACTTGTCATAGCAGGTGACCAGTTTTTGTATACCATCGTCAAAGAAACTTCCCACCAGTTTCGATAACCACGACTCCACAGCATTTTTCATGTCATCGTCAGATCCAAAACGATTGCCACCAAGCTCGCGCTTCATGTGCAGGAACAAGTGATAGTCAGACGGCGCCAAGTCCGGGCTGTACGGCGGGTGATCAAACTGCTCCCAATGAAACTGTCGAATTAACGATTGAATGACACCAGCAGTATGGGGCCGAGCATTGTCATGGAGCAACACAATTCCTTTACTGAGCATTCCTCTTCGTTTGTTTTGAATGGCACGCCTTAGTTTTGTTAAAGTCTCACAATATCGTGCCGCATTAATGGTTTTCACCTCTGGGAAGAAATTCAGTAAGCAAAACGCCTTTCCTATCCCAGAAGACAGTGCACATGATTTTTTGTGATGATATTGTCACTTTGAACTTTTGTTTTTTCGGAGAATGAGTGTGGTCTCCACTCTGTCGATTGTTGTTTCGATTCTGTTTAAAATGACACACCCAAGTTTCATCACCTGTCACAATTTGGTTTAAAAAGTTTTCTCCCTCATCACTGTACCGCGTGAGAAATGTCAGGGCACTACCAAGTCGCTTTGTTTTGTGAACATCAGTGAGCATTTTTGGAACCCATCGGGAACACAGTTTGCGATAATTCAAGCGGTTCAGACACAATTTTGAACAAAACAGTACGTGAAATCTGTGGAAATGCCTCTGAAAAGAGTTGTCATTGTGAAGCGTCTGTTCTCATGAATTGCTTTTATCAACTTTCCTTACCAAATCAATCGGTGACAACAGAAGGCCGACTACTCCGAGCCTCGGCGTGGACATTTGTTCGACCTGCATTAAACATTCTTACCCACTTTCTCACCATTCCATCACTTATCGCATATTCACCGTAAACTTCTGTCACTTGACGATAAATTTCGGTCGGTTTAACATTCATCGCGTTCAAAAATTTAATCACGGCATGAATCTCACAGTCAGCGGAAGAACTAATTGTCTTAAACATTTTGAATGTGCACAGCAAACTGAAAACACAACATAGAGCAACCAAAATGGCGACAATTGAAAGTCGGTGAACAAGAAAGACTAGTGCGCATGCGCGGGACGCCTACCACAGCGCCGTGACGGCACTAGAATGAAACGGTACTTAGTTTCCGAATATGCTACATACTTTGGCGCAATTGTTGACGCGGTTTTTACAATCGTCAGCCATCTTGAAAATAGCTGTTTTTACGTATTTTGCGCATAGTAAAGTATTCAAAACTTTAAAAAAATTAATATCGTTCAAAATAATGGATTAATTTTTTGTTGAAAACATCATTTTTTAAGTTAGCAGGCAAATGTAAATAAATACATTTACTACGAGTATAAAATACTAAAGTAAGATTAAATTATTACTTTCATAGCAAAGAAGTAGAATATAAACACTGCTATAAAAGCATTGCGCCAATGTTTAATTGAATTAAAATATTACTTAACTTGAATATCGAATAAAAAACCATCATACCAACATTTAAAAGAATTAAAATATTACTTAAATTCAAGTACTTAAAAATATTTTTTATAGCATATAATTAACATTAAAACATATGTTATAGTAATTATCTCAGCAATTTTTGAAAATAGTGTATTAATTTTTTTAACAAAAATTGAAGTAGTATACAATTATAAAGTAAAAGTAAAATATGTACTTACATTTTTTTTAGTCATTTAACCTGTCGTTTATTGATAAGTACCTAAAAAAAGCTTAGAATCATAATTTAGATATCAATGAAAAAAATTTGAAAAATGTAATATCAAGGGCAGGAATAAAAAAAATTTTAAAAAACAAAAAGAATTTATAAATAGATAAAGCAATTTAGAGCCAAATTAATGGATCATAAAGATTAAAAATAATAAAAAAATTTGAAAAAAAAAACCTCCAATAATAGGTATTGATTTAAGATTTCGAAGATCCTTTAACAGCCTTTCCCTGAAATACATGCCAATCATCCCAGTTTATGTCTCAACAAGAAATTTAACATATGAATGCTCATTCAATGCAGAGCAAATTTTCCTAAACAAATACCAGGCTATGTATACTTCAAAAATCTCCTCAATGATTGTAAACCGGCAAAGAGTTTCTGAAGTCACGCCATTGTCTTTCAACTGTGTTAGTATGAGCTCCGGTTTCAGGATCTACGAAATGCAACGAATGGTTAGCTTGCAAGTGATTGAAATCTTCTTCGCTCAAACGATAAGCTTTCCAGCAGTCCAAAATAATCTGGGTTCCCGCTTCGATCCAATCCTTAATTAAAACGAGAAGAGTAGCCGCTGTTCTGTCTGGCACAGCAACTAAAAAAACAGTGACCTGAATCACGCTCTATTTTTCCCAAAACCCACTGCCCTTCAACAAATCATTACGAATTTGTTAAACTTTCTTTTCCCGATTTCGGACTCGTCAATCTCCACAATTTTCCCTGGCCCTCCGATCTTCTCCGTTTTAGCTTCCACAAAATTAACTAAAGTGTCAGTTACATAACTGCGCCAGTCAGCTACAGCTTCTGAAAAAATATCGAGCTCATATTGAATTCTATCGTACAAAGGACCCATGAATATTTCGTACATTAGAGCTAAAATGACAGCAATTAGAAGTTTATTTCTGGTAAAAAAGGAGAATGTCTGTTTTTTACCATTACAGCGGTTATTTCTTCCACTGTGACCACAATACCATATATGGCCGTCCTCAGAATCGGCTCTTTTAACCATCTTCATCTGTGATCCACATTTCTCGCACTTCATTTAAGAAGCAATTGGCGAGGTTTCCTCCAAAAATTTTAAATAAATTTCCTCTGACCCTTGTAACAATTTATAAATAAATCTTTGATTAGGAAAGCCAGGCTGTCCAAAATAAGGTTTCAAAGAACAATTTTTTTATTCTGATACCAGTAATTCTTGGTACTTACCAATAACAACATTCATCTTTGAAGGAATTCGAAGATATGAATTAAATTTTAAAATTGCGCGGTAATGCACAAATTTTCAGTAACCAATCAAGGAGCTGATTACAGCTTGTTAATGCACAAATATTCTGTAAACAATCAGGAAGCTGATTACATCACACCTAGAATTAAAATTATTTAAATAATCATACATAATAAAATCATTTAAAAACATTAGATTAAATTTATAGATATTAAAACCAATTACTTATTAAAGTAAGATGACTTCATTGATTACATCATCCACAACATAAAATATCATAATAAAATTTTTATTTCAAATTAAAATGCAAAATTAAATTGATTTTTAGTATTTATAAGCCATGAATAATATTTAAAACACGGAATTTATGCATAATAAAATGCATTATTTTAAAATAAAATGACAGCAAAGTATCGGTTATCATAAATAACTTGTCTAGCAATGGGTTTACCATAAGTCGTATTACTCACCAAAAGAAAAATCGCCAAAATCTGTGCAACCATCTACCAAAGTAGCACCACAAATTTTTATTATTAAATAAGCATCATATGATATACCAAAAAAAAAAAAAAAAAAAAAAAAAAAAAACCCTTTCTGAGAAAGCCTTCTGTTTTCTACTCCCCATTTACACAGTCATCTTTTTCCCCCCCCCAAGGAAAAATAGAATTGCACAACCTCAGCATTGAACACCAACTATAATTCTGATGAAATTTGGTCCTCCAGTGGTCAAGGCTGCTAAGTATTGGTAGTTTGGCCTGCTGTGCGTTTGATTCGAGGTGAATGGGCTGGCTGCATGGTTGATTTTTTTGTGGCCAACCACATGTAATGTAAATAAAAGCCAGTTTTTCTTGGAAAGTCTTTCACAAAGGCATCCTTCATCTTAGGAAGATCTCTTGGGGGGCTCAATTTTTGGGAGTCTAGGGTACATCAAGTGTGGCAATCCCAAGTTACCCTAGCCCTTCAAGGGATCATCCTCTTGATGAGATGAGGGTCACGATCCATGCGTCCTAGCGATCTTTCCTCCTTACCTTTTCGTCTCTCTATATCTGTTCTATTTCTGTTTCCTTCACCTTTGTGGTTTTTCTATTCAAAGGTTGAGGCTCAAAATGAGATTCTATTATGTCCCTTTGTTTAAAGTTTCTCATGAAGAGAAAAACTGCCTACCCGTTTGCCGAGTGTTGTGACCTGTAAGGCTGGAAAGGAGGGTTCTGGTAGTTGAGGGACAAGGTATTGTCATGGACCTTATAAGAAATAGACTAACCCAAATGGCTTTTCTTCCTCTTCTGACACATTCCTGGCTGTCACCTTGATCACATCCGGAGGAGTAGGGACGACTTGCAGAAACTTGCAATGGTTGGCTATTGCAGTGTGTATAATTGTCAAGAAAAAGTTGTAGCGCCTCATTTCACAAATTAGAATTTTTAGATATTTTAATTTTGAAACTGAGATTGGTTTTTAAAAATTTAGCATATATATCAAGCATAATTAACATTCCAAATAATTATAAGGTTGTTGCATGCTTTCAGGCCTGGCTATTTTTTAGCTTTTCCTATCCT